GACGTGACCAAGGTAGGTTTATGGCAAGCACATGTTCGGCTGTTATGGCTGCCAAAAGGGAAGCCGGTTCCTTCAAAAGAAGTTCTGTTGGAAAGTTTTCAAAGTTCAAAGGCCCATTGTCTTAGTGTATCTTCAGATACTTCTCTGCCTTTGTGTCACCACTTCTCAAAAAACCACCAACATGCTTTTTAATAGTGACCCCATTTAAAAATGTTCTGTATTTGAAAAGCATGAATGGGGACAGGAAAGTGAAAGTGAAACTCATTCAAGATGCCAACACTTAGGACATAGAGACATCCATTTGCCCACGGGAAGGCACCCTGTGCTTCGTCACAGTGCATGTCTTTTTACCATGTCCTTTCACCATGTCCTAAGCCTGTGTCTGCACAGAGCATGCTGGTGTCCCTGCTCACGACACAGGGGCCTTTTCTCCTGAGCACACACCACAGCTCTCATCTCTGCTTTTATTGCACCTTTAGGAACCCCCCCTCCTCTTTCCTCCTCTCAGTCTGTTTCAGTCCCCCACGCCCTCCTCTCTGTCCTGTGCTTCTCTGCCTCCCCTTTGAAGTTTTCCTGTTCCTGCACATCCCAGGCATGCCTCCCACACCTTCCAGGCCCTCCAGCCTGATGAGCAGGGGCAGGGCAGAGAGTCCTAGTGATTAGGCCTCTGCGCAAACGTAAAGGCTTCGGGAGTCTTTAAAGCCAAGATGGAGGGGCTGCTCGAGGCTTCCCACAGAGGAGCTTAGCGAGCTGCTTCCTTTGGACTCCTTCCAAAAACAGAGGCAGTGGCCATTTAAACCCAAAGGGAGTGGGCAGCCATCTTTGCCCTGGGGAGGAGATTTCAGGACTCTGAAAGAAGGAAAGACAGACAAGTGAGACCATGTAGGGCTTTGTTTGGGTGGGGTAAACTCTGTGAGAATCGCTGGCCCCAGCCTGCGTACAAGCTGGGGCACAGGCTGAAAAGTTTCCTTTTCAGCTGGCATTTGTCCATTGCTGGGATGACCAGTGAGTGAGTAGTCAAAGAATCACATGACTGATAGACATCTCTCATGACAGGCGGGAGGGGCTAGGGCAGGAAGACAGGAATCCAGAGAGACAATCTACTTGAGTTCTTGTGTGAGTGGGTGCAGGAAAGAAACTGCTGATGTAACTGATCTATGATGTGGTTAAGGTTTTTATTGTAGATACGAGAGAAAACACCCAGAGGCATCTGGAAGAGTCCAGAGCAGAGAGAGAGAAAGTAGACTGAACATAGCCAGGACTAGGAAAGCAGGAGAGATTAGTGGAGCTATTGCGATAACAAGAGATAGAGAATAGAGTAGAGCTAGAGAGGATGAGCTGGCAAATAGCGAGAGTAGCCAGGTTATAAGAGGGATGAGTAGCTGGGGAGGGGAGCAGCTCATGCTAGCATGGACTTTGAAATGTGTGATGGGTCCTTGTGATCCTAAGGGAGCCCAGAGGCCAGCATGGACCTTGATATTCTAATAGGGGCCACAGGTAGCCATGTGCCCCTTCTGCCAGAGGTAAGGGAAGTGCTCCCTTTCACAGGTAAGAACCAGTTTCACAAGTTCCTGAGGAATGCTGGCTTTTATCTCCCCACCAGAAATCCTGTAGTCCAGTTTGGGCTCATTTCTGGCTATTTGGACAGCTGGAGAGACCTAACAGTTCTGGAAACCAAATTACTGTAATTAAGGCAACTGTCACAGCTCTACCAAAAATGGAGGAGGCATTTACAAGATGGCAAGGCCCAGGCTAACAGAGGATAGAGAAAACACGGTGTGGTCATAGCTTAAGGCTGTGGGAAACTAATGTGGGCATTGCACTCCTTTGAGAATTTCTGAGTTTCAAAGAAACGAGCACAAAGTTATCATGACAGTTTAAGGTAACCTGCCACACCATTTGAAATAAATACCTTTAGAGTTCAAGGCTGGCTGAATGCCGGGGCACTAGGCCTGACCACTTACAGCACTTGCGTTGCTGCTTTTGTTCCTTTGAAGCCTCTGTAGCCTTTTGCTTTTCTTAATGTCTCAGTAGGGAAGTTCCCTGTGGGCTTCAACAGAAATTTCTTAGGTTCCGTGGTTAGGCCTATTTTTCCTACCCTCCCCACTCAAGAACATGCTGAGATCCAGGTGATATCAACACTGGAGGATAAACTGGACTTTGATTCAGTTAATTTTTCAAAGGAAGTAGATCATTCATGAATCCTGAGATTTTTACCTCTCATTAGCAATAAGTTACATCTCATGACTAATCAAGACACAGGAAGGTGTGGTAACACCTGAAGGGAGGCTACACAGAAAGCAGTGAGTGAGCTATGTAGAGGGCTGTCGTGCCTGCTCATCTCCTGGCACCTGCCTGCGCTCAGACACTTACAGTCCAGTGCCCAGAGCTTCTGTTTCCATGTACACTGCTGAAGGAAGAGCACAGAGGTGCCAGCATGGCCAGGCTGTTACCAGCATTGTAACACCTCCAAGAGGGAGTCATGGTCCTAAGAGCAGACACACACACACACCAAAAGAGGGACAAGTACACAGACTGAGAACCCCTCAGAAGACCGGGTATTGGGGAGACATCTGGCTAAAGAGGTCCTACCCAGCTGATGTGGCTGGATTTGGGGATGGCAACAGATGATATTTCACCTTAATACTAATGTGAGACCTCTCCTAATCCAGAAAAGCCTGTTCCTGCTGAACGCCACCGAGGGTCTAGTCACAGACAAGACACTGTACAGTCACCAGTGTTTCCTCCCACCCAGAAGTAAGAACACTTACTTTATTCTTTATTTCTTTCTTTATTCATTTCTTTCTTTATTCATTCTTTTAAAAATATTTTCATTTTGATTTTGTTTTTATGTATATATGTGAGTATATGTTGCATGTGTGTAAGAAGGGTATCCAGTCTCCTGGAACTGGAGTTACATGGTTGTGAGCCATCCAGTGTGGGCACTAGGAACTGAACTCAGGAACTGAACTCAGGAACTGAACTTCTGGAACGACAGGAAGCACCCCCCTCTCTTACCCCTTTGTTTTATATATTTGTTAAAGACAGGGTCTCACTCTGTAGTCCCAGCTTGCCTGGCTGTGTACATATTGCCTTTCTGGTGTACGTAACCAGGCTGCCCTTTAACTCCTGTCTCAGCCTCCAGAATGTGGGGTAACAGATCGTGAGTCAACTCTTTTCCCAGCAGTAGAATCTTTCCCTTTAAAAACAAGTTTCTTCTTGTTGCTATGGAAATTCATTGTCATACAAGGTCACACAGGGAACCGTGTTTCATCACTTCTTAATTAAATCTGGAAAGGTGTCAGCAACTTAAGAAACTGTAGAATTTCAGAGACCCATTCTTCCAGTCATTGGTCTTACCTAAAATACAGCTCTTCAGTCAAGGCTCCTCCTTTTTCAAAGCTAAAGGGGAAAATCTTTGTTTTCCAAAGGTTTTGTTTCCCCTCCCATCTTTAGATCTCATTATCCTTTGGAGGGTTGTTCAGACTTTGTACTGTGCTCTGCCTTTTACTTAACCTGCATCTCTTCCTTTCAGACCTATCCATCAAAAGCCTGTTCCTCTGCCACGTAAGTACAATGAAATCACGATGGCTGTCTTAGTTACAGTTTCTATTGCTGTCAAGAGATGCCATGACCATGGCAACTCTTATAAAGGAAAACATTTAACTGAGGTGGTTGCTTATAGTTCAGAGGTTCAGTCCATTATCAACATGGCAGGGAGCATGATGGCATGGTGTTGGCTACATCTTGATCAGAAGGCAACAGGAAGTGGACTGTGAGAGTGGGAGGAGCTTGAGCATAAGAGGCCTCAAAGCCTGCCCTCCCCAGTGATATGCTTCCTCCAGCAAGGCCACACCCACTCCAACAAAGCCACACCTCCTAATAGTGTCACTCCCTATGAGCTTATGGGGGCCAATTGCATTCTAACTGCCACAAAGGTCAACCACAGGTGGAGGTTAGGGCCAGGTATGGGAGCTAACAGCACTGTCACTTCCACTGTGCAGTTGCAGTGTCTTCTCTTATTTGCTTCCTTGTCTGTAAACTAGGGCCAAAGATATTTATTTTGTAGTGTTACTTTGAAAGGTAAATATTTCCCATCTTTAGTATTGATTGAGCATTTACTTATCGGTCATCATCATTTAAACAAAATACAATACAGCCATTTTCAAAAGCAGATTAAGTCAAACAGCACATGGGAAATACCTAGTACAGTGCTTGGCACCTAGAAGATTCTCAATAAATGATGTGTTTGATTCTGAAATATGTTTTAATGAACCTCACATATTATCTATAAAATATACCCTACAATGAGAATGTGGTAATTATCTGGATAAGTTTGCCAAGGTAAACCACCTTATATATGAATCAGATGAATCAGATCTGGAGAGATGGATGAGAGGCTGAGTTCAGTTCCAGCACCCACAAGGATTCTTAAGCATTTTCACCTTGAGACTACTTTTAATACTTTTAAAATTCAGTGAAGACCCAAATAATTTTGGTTTAAACATTTCTTCCCACTGATAATAAATATATTATAAATTAAATCTGTTGATGAAGGAACATGGAGGAGATATGCCCAAAATACTTTGTGTGTTCATGAAAATGACACTGCATAATAAAATAAAAATAATTAAGTTAACAACAAAGGTAGAATACATTCAGCAAACAGACCATTTTCAAACTGTAGGTTAGAGCAGTAGGTGTGTGGGCTGACTACTTCCCTTGTTTTACGTGTTGTGTAAGTCTCAAAATGGAGCATAAAGAGATTGCTTCTTATTACCAAAGCTTTAAAAAACAAAAACTGTGAAATAAGCCATTAAAAATTACATGAAGTCATTATAAGTATTTTCTTGAAAACTATTTCAAACCAAATGTGTGTGTGTGTGTGTGTGTGTGTGTGTGTTTATATGTCTCTGTGTGTTTGTGTGTGCATATTTGTGTGTGAGTGTGCAGAAAGTGACACTGGATTACAGTTTACAAATCTTATTTACTTCTGAGACAGGTCTTATGTGTAGTTCAGGCTGACCTTAAACTGTTGATCCTCCTGCCTCAGTTTCCTAGTAGCTGGTATTACAGCTTGCATTACCTGGTCCAACTTGACAGAACTTTTAAATGTCTAGAGCTAACAGTCCATTGCTGTGCTTTCTCATAAAAAAAAAAAAAAAAAAAACAAGAAGAAAACCCAGGTTTTTCAAAGATAGGTAGTTGCCAAAAAACAAAGACCTCCCAAACCTCTGGAAGGATCTTGGTGATTTCAAGGGGTCCTGAAGCCATCTCTGAACAGCATTGTCCTAAGGATTTGTCGCTTCTGTGTTTGGTCCACAATGCTCTCTCAGTAGTGAGACATAGGCATTGAAACTGCATAGAAACTAGTAAAGATTAATGGACTTGTCAAATCTCTTTCAGGGTTTCCAGAAGGGGGAAGCCCAGCTGTAGATGGACCATTATGTAGCTTGTCATCTAATTCCACTTTTGCAGACCAGGTATGACATGAGCTTGATGTCATCGGACTGTTTGCAGTGAACTCTGGGAAAGGGCATGTCTTCTGAGGACAATTTGGAGGAAGGCTGAGGATGGAGTCTGGATTTTAATTGAGCTGATCTGATGGCTACAGAATGTCTTGTTTTTTTCAGTGACTAAGAAAGACCTTGGCATACTTCTTCTCATTTCTGTTCCAGATACCCAAATAACAGTTAGTGCTTCTTTAAAATCGGGAAGGAATGTGTTGTTTTTGTTGTTACTCCTCTCACATAGATTTTATTTAAACTTTATAATTTCCTCAGAATAGACCTGTGGAGGCTTATGATGTTAAAGCTGTATCAAACGGAACAGCATAAAAAAGACAGAAAGGACCCTGTGTGCTCTGAGCTTAGACAAAATGTGAAGATGGTAAGGGAGCAAATATCCTTATTTGTCAAAATCAAGTAAGATAATATTACTGAAACACTGGCAATAGGGAGAAATAGTTTGGTTGGTAAAGTGCTTGCTGCACAAGCATGAGGATTTGAAAACCGGCTCCAGAAGTAACAAGCAGAACAAAAGAAAACAAATGAAAAAAAGGGGGGGGGGTAATGCCATGTGTTTGTAATCCCAGCACTGACAAGACAGAAACAGTAGCTCCCTGGGGTGGACTGATCAGCCAGCCTGGCTTCATCTTTGAGCCCAGTGAGAGATTCTAACTCAAAAAACAAGTGGACAGCTCCCGAGGAACAGCAGCAAATGTTGATATCTGGCACACACACACTGAAATTATGAAGCACCCTATAAAGCATCAAGAATAAGAGCATGATGAGAAAAGAATATATAATTCATTCAGGAGGTCCATTTATGTTTTAGGACTAAATTGAGCAGCTAATGCCAAATGGGAGTGAGCTAGCCATGTAAGCCTTGTGGTTGGACAAAGGAAACACAAAATTCATTTTAACATCACTGGTAAAGATGTTGATGAATGTCACTAGTGACTTGGTCTTGCAATACTAGCCATTTAAGCTCCTCTCCTAAATACTCATGTACTTATGTTTTTTTTTATTTAATTTACAAACAAGCTTGCTTCACATGTCAATCCCAGCTCCATCTCTATCACCTCCTCCCAACCCTCAGTCTTCCACCCCATTCCCCCCCCCCCCCCCCCCCCCCCGCTACCTAGGGAGGGTGAGGCCCTCCATGGGGTATCTCCTAGTCTGTCATATCATTCGGGACAGGGCCTAGGCTTTCCCCCATGTATCCAGGCTGAGAGAGCATCCCTCCATGTGGGGGCTCCCAAAGTCCATTTGTATGCCAGGGATAAATTGTGATCTACTACTTGAGGTCCCATAGATTGCTGAGGCCTTCTCACTGACACCCACGTTTAGGAGGTCTGCATCAGTCCCATGCTGGCCTCTCAGCCATCAGTCTGGGATCCATGAGCAATCCCTTGTTCAGGTTTTACCAGCTGTGGGTTTTACCAGCCTGGTCTTGACCCCTTTACTCATCACTCCTCCCTCTCTGCTACTGGGTTCCCAGGAGTTCAGTTCAGTGTTTAACTGTCGGTATCTAATGCTCATGTAGTTTGAGGACCAGCTCATGTTTCATAATGTGTGTCTCACAGGAGGCAGAACTTCACGGGAAGCCCTGGTATGCTGGTGCCTGTGACCGCAAGTCTGCTGAAGAGGCCCTGCACAGATCCAACAAGGTTTGGCCACCTAAAAATCCCACACTGTGGAGCTCATCATAGGTCCAACTAAGTAATTGCAGGGGTGCAGGTAGAGGGCTATTTCCCTATGCTTTCTCCTCTCTTGGAACTACCCGTCTTGTTCTGCCATCTCCTTCCTATTTACCTTTAATCTCAAGGCTCTGTGGGCTCCACTGCCCCTCACACAATGGAGAAAAGTGGGAGGCAGGGGAGATTTGGGGAAGAACTGATGCTGCAGGAGCCCTGCCTTGGAGTGTGGAAGAACAGGCTATTTTGAAACAACTCAAGATCTGGATGAAGCAGCAGAAACTACCTGGGAGTCTATTTTTGAGAGCTCAACCCTGGGGATGGATGGGACAATGCAAGGTTAAAGCTCTCTTTTCACTTCCTCTACTCTCCCATTCTTTTTTAAAAAAAGATTTTATTTATTTATTATGTATACAGTCTTCTGCCTGCAGGCCAGCAGAAGGCACCAGATCTCATTCAAGGTCGTTGTTAGCCACCATGTGGTTGCTGGGAATTGAACTCAGGACCTCTGGAAGAACAGTCAGTGCTCTTAACCACTGAGCCATCTCTCCAGCCCTACTCTCCCATTTTTTAAAAGCCCGAATCCCTGTTGAAATGTCATCAATTGGCTGGTGAGGGTTCCTTTGTTCAGCCTAGCTGGGAATTGTGGGTAGTCCAGGAGAAGTCCTTCTAGGACTGTCTCCATGTTGAGGATTTCCTCAGTTTTTGCTTCTTTCTTGTCCAGCCCACACTACTTGGGGAAAAAAATGATCACCTTTTTGGGGGGTCCAATGTTGTACAACAGGGAAGGTGGCCCTGGAGGGAGACAGGATGGGGGAGAGGGTGTGTTTTGGATCAGTCACAACCTGTTTGTGTGGGCCAACCACAGCTCTGCCTTGATATCAATCACAGTCACTCAAGCTTATAAGTTTTTTTTTAATATTTTATTTATTTATTATGTATACAACATTCTGCTTCCATGTATATCTGCACACCAGAAGAGGGCACCAGATCTCATAACGGATGGTTGTGAGCCACCATGTGGTTTCTGGGAATTGAACTCAGGACCTCTGGAAGAGAGGCTGGAACACTTAACCTCTGAGCCATCTCTCCAGCTCAAACTTGTGTTTTGAACCAACCACTGTCTACCTCCTTAGCTAGTTCACTAGGGGAAGGGCTTACCCCTTGGCTAAGGTGGAAATGGTTGCAAGGCTATCTAAAGTTGAGTGAGGCTTGCCATCACTGCAGCTGTTTCAGTGAGCCCTGGCCGACTCCATCGCCTCCAGAGCCAGCACAGTCAGGGCAAGCTTTTCAGAGTTGTCTCAAGGCCACCGTGTCACTCTTCAGTGGTCATCACTGTCTGGCTGACTCTGCTGCACTCCATTTTAAATGTCGTGGTTGTCCCCAAGGCTTCCTTTGGGTCACACATTAAATCTCTATTGGAGTTCACTTAGTCCTCAGAGATTTTGTAAAATTTGTCCCTTTGTTTCTGAGATAGTTTTTTTTCTTTCTTTTTCTTCAAATTCTTTCCTAAAGCTGAACACCATCTATTGCATTTCTTCTTTCTGTCTTTTTGGCTAGGTTTTGTTCATAACTTTTTTAAAATTTGTAATACTAAACTATTTTAATAAAATATTTCATATAAATTAGAATATTCTATTACACTTTTTCTACTTTAACATAATTATGTCTGTTGAGATGAGCATTTTCTTTAGCTAAAAGCTTCAATTTCCAGGTACTACTTCCTTCTTACAGTTCTTGCACACAGAATATGTTAGACTTTTACTAAGGGAACTGGCAAACATGGGCCCTTGTTCAAGATACTCTAGGTTTGATCTTACTGTGTCCTTTTACATACTTCTAAATCCCAACAAGCATAATACCTCAGGGAACACATCAAACACTGGCATTGGCTTCACTCAAGTTTGTCTACATCTCTGTCTTGTGAACAGTACTCTTGGAAAACAATAAAATAAATTCTAATCAATAATAAAAACGTGGAGCTAAATAATCGATATTTGAAAACAAAATATTCTTCATAAACCGGTTTCTAGCTTACAGAAATATAACTAATACTACCACTGTGCTTTGCTTTTATTAAACAGGATGGATCATTTCTTATTCGGAAAAGCTCTGGCCATGATTCTAAGCAGCCATATACACTAGTTGCATTCTTTAATAAGCGAGTATATAATATTCCTGTACGGTTTATTGAAGCAACCAAACAATATGCTTTGGGAAAGAAGAAAAATGGTGAAGAGGTTAGTAATTATTCTTTCTCTATTTATTTATTTATTTATTTATTTATTTATTTACTTACTTACTTACTTACTTATTCACTTACTTATTTTGAGACAGAGTTGTATTATGTAGCCTGGGTGGGCCTGAAACTCCCTAGCCCAGGCTGGCCTTAAGCTTATAATCCCCCTGAGTGTGGGATCCTAAAGAGGGTACCACTGTGGCTGGCTGATAATTTCTTTAACTCAGCTCTACATCTATGTTTTGAACACAGTGTCACCATGCTCTATTAGGTGTCAGAGAAAAAGGAAAAGAATACAAAAGTACTTGGTCTTAGGGTCTCTCTCTCTCTCTCTCTCTCTCTCTCTCTCTCTCTCTCTTACACACACACACACACACACACTGTGTGTGTGTGTGTGTGTGTGTGTGTGTGTCATCAGTAGAAAATAAAAGGAAATGCCATGCTTTGACATACTATATTATATAGTATATGATGCATGCTGTGTAATAGAATATTTTATGAGAAAGCAGAAGAAAGTGATTATATATATATATATATGCTAGTACTTTTTTACAATTTGAATGTCTGTGTGTATGGTGTGCATGGGTGTGAGGCACACATGCACATCTGTGTACATGTATGTGGAGGCCCAAGGTTAATACTTGAGAATCTTTCTTGATCGCTCTCCACGCTGTTGTTTGAGCCAGGATCTCTTGATTGAACATGGCTATTCTAGTTACCTGTTTGCTCCAGGGATCCCTTGGCTCTGTCTTCTGAGTGCTAGAATTATAGGCAGGCCACTATGCCCACCTGGCATTTTTATGGGCACTGGGGATCTGAACTCCCATCTTTATGCTTGCACAGCAAGGGCTTTATCCACTGACCATCTCCTCAACCCCTCTTTCCACTCATTATTAGTAAGGGTAATATGGTATAATTTATTAGTTCAAGAAAACTTATAAATGGAAGTTGAAATGCCAAATCAAATTAAGGTTGTAAGAATCTAGGTCATGAACTAGTTCTCCAAAATCAAGGCCTAGCAGCTCAACTCAACTCTGGCACTAAGTTAGGTGACCAGGGAAGGACTTGAGAATTCAGAATTTGATTTGAAGCATTATACTATAATTTTATGCCAAGATGAGATCATGCAATGAAAAAGTACTCACATAGGCCTTAAATAACAAACAGAAATGTCTTTAATGAAGAGCAAAATGGAAGCTCAAAATGTTTCTGTTTAGGTAGATTGTTCCAATAAAGGAATCTTGGAGTATGAGTAAGAATTATCTTTGTCACTGTTCAATCGCTATGAAGAGACAACATGACCAAAGCAACACTTATAAAGGAAAGCATTTCACTGGGGGCTGACTTAAGGTTTCAGAGGTTTAGTCCTATCATCATGGTGACAACGTGGCACTGGAGAAGTAGCTAGAGTTATAGTCTGATCTGTAGGCAAAGAGAGAAATACCAAGCCTCGTGTGGGCTTTTGAACCCCTAACTCCAGTGACACAGCTTCTCAACAAGCTCACACCTCCTAATCCTTCTCAAATAGTGCCACTTCCCTTATGACTAAGTATTCACATGTATGGTCCTGTGGGTGCCAGTTTTAGTCATGACACCACACCTATGTATGGTCCAGAAAGGAATGCTTGTTCCCATCTAGAATGATAGGTTGGATTTGGATCTGTGGAATAAAAGTGGGAAGAATGAAAAGGAAAAAGGGTAGAAAGGACAGTTTAAACAGTGAAAATAGCATAACCAAGGTTCTAGTGAAGAGACACTTATGAGTGAGTGTGGTGGCACCTTCCTGTAATGCCAGCAGTTGGGAGGCTGAGGTTAGAAGATTGTGAGTTCAAGTCCAGCCTGGGCCAACAAGTGAGGCCCTCCCTCAACTTTTAAAATGGAAGAAGGTAGGGAGAAAGGAACGAGGGGATGAAAGAAAGGAGGAGGGCAAAATGAAGGAAGAAAGGAAAACATTTTTTGAAGATACTTTCAGAAAGAGCCACACCCTTCCAAACCCAGCATTGTTTGTTTGTTTTTTAAATCACAGTTGCTAATGCATCTGTCTTCTCCAATGATGAGGCTGGGACTATGTCTTCTTCACTTCTGCCTTCACAGAACTGGAGTAAAATGGCTTACTTTAGTGGATACTAAATGAATGAATTCAACTGTTGGTTGAAAGGCATTTGTAAAACAAACCAAATAGCCTTTCTGTACTCTTTATTTTGTTTTCTAAAAAATGACACACATGCTGGGCAGTGGTGACACACGCCTTTAATCCCAGCACTTGGGAGGCAGAGGCAGAGGATCTCTGTGAGTTCAAGACCAGCCTGGTCTGCAGAGTGAGTTCCAGGATAGCCTCCAAAGCCACAGAGAAACCCTGTCTCAAAAAAAAAATAAGTAAATAAAACACACACACACACACACACACACACACACACACACACAGCACAACACTATCATGGTCCATCTGCCATCTTGATCATGTTTAGGTATGAGGCTTGACATGCAGAACCATTTTAGAACCCCACCAACAGTACACAACGTTCAAATTCATATTTCACCAATACTTGTAACTTGTTATTTTCTGGGTTGTTTGTTATAGTAGCCATCTCAATGGATGCATCATGATACCTCATTCACATTCCTCTGGTGACTAGTGTTGCTCAGCATCTCTTCATATATTTGTTGGCCACTTATATATCATCCATGCAGAACTGTTTATTCAAAGTCCTTTGAATACTTTCCAATCAAGTGTTCCAGTTTTTACTGTTGTTGAGTTTGAGATTTGTTTGTTTGTTTTGTTTTGGGTTTTTTTGAAACAGTGTTTCTCTGTGTATCCCTGACTATTCTGGAATTCATTCTGTAGACCAGGCTGGCCTTGCCTGGTCAGAGAACCCCTTGCCTCTGCCTCCCAAATGCTGGGATTAAAAATGTGCACCACCACTGCCCAGCTCTGAGTTTGGGAATGTATCAAAATATTCCCTACCTTCCTTGGGTACCCTTTTAGCTGTTGGTTTTGTTCTATGATATGTTCTCATCGATGCATCTTGGTTTTGGTGCTTGTGTTCTTCATGTCACATCCAGGAAATCATTGCCAAATCCAATGTCAGTGTTTTCTTATGTCATAATTAGAAAAGACAAACTTTTGAGTCTGAGAACACTAATCAAGAGCAAAATTGCACTGTCATATAACAAAGTTAAATAGCTGTTCTATTTCATTTTCTAGCCTTTTAGTTTCCAATTACGCTCAGCTTCACAGCTCCTTATGCCAAACAGACAGAATAAATGTATTGTGGCATTTATCACAAAAGAGTCTCACGGGCAATGAAAGAGGTTTGGATGGTTGAAGGAGTCAAGATAAAATTATGTACAGGTCTCTGTCTGATTCCCTCCTGCCGGAAATGCTATCTTAAAAGCCTCTTGGAAAATGTTACTTAATCATAATCAGTGCTAGGAGATGGTGTCGATTGATGCTAACAGGACAGCCCCAGGACTGGCTTCCTTTCCAAGTCTTTTCAAGGGTGTAGCTCACCTTCTAGAGGCATGAAAATGGGGAGCCAGGAGCTGTCCTACTCACAGGTCCTGAAATTTTCTTAAACTTTGAACTCTCAGAGAGGCTCTGGGCTTCCTTATTTTGAAAAAGCCACACACTAGTTAACAAAAATTCTTTAGTTCTTTAGTTCTTCTTGTCCTAACTGGTCAGCACTTTTCCTCCACTCTCGGCATAACCAGCCCCTGGATTAAAATGATAATGGTGTCTGGCAATGCTGAAAATCAACTGAAAATCTTTAAATTATTTGTAAGAAAAAATTATGTTTTCAATACACTGAACATAAAATAGGAAATGAAAATTTGTGCTGTTTAATATCAACTATGCATATATTTTTAAAGATTGTTTCTCTACATTTTTTTACTTCTCATGTATTACATCCCAACCAGTTTCCCCTTCCTCTCCCAGTGCCCCCCTTTCTCTACTTCTATTTGTGTAGAATAATAGATAAAGCAAAAATATAATTACTTAATTAATTGTTTAACTTTTCATGCAGTTGTTTTGGCTTGCATAGTATATTAGCCTCATAGCTTTGATGACTGCTTTATTTTATTGTCCATGAGACGTTGAGTTACTGAACCAGTTATTTTCTGTACATATGTGGACATCTCAAATACACCTAATTAATATGACCATAAATAAAGAGAACTGGGGGAAAGCAACAACTAAACAATGGCAATTCATCTTTTATTTAAACCACAAATGTGCTTCAACTCCACTTCTATCTCAGTTCCAACTCAATTCAAATCCTCTTCTGTGTTTCTTGAGCTCAGAACACACTTCTTGGAATTCAGCAGCAAAGACCTTGTTTTTGCTCATCTCCTAGTCCTTTCATTTTCAAATCTCTGTGTTTAGTTTGGCAAAATTCTGTGCCTCCTCCCTGTCTTCCTGCCCCCTCCCCAAATGAATGTATCATGACATTTCTCAGGGAGGAATCCCACTGGCACTTGCAAAAGCGCTGAGTGGCTGCAGAGAAGGAGGGCACGAAGGTAAAAGCATGTGGAAGTCCCTACGGCTTGCCTCTCCGCCACAGTCTAACATTCAGATGGCCATCCAGCTAAAATGCACCTGTATTTCATTTGAGAAGTTGTCCAGTATTATGAATACATTGTTATCAATATGTAGATCTTGGAAGTCATCTGTAGTGCAATATCTACTCCCCCACCCCTGCACCTGTAGTGCTGACCATGCCCATTTGGATGTGGGCACAGGTGTGGACCTAATGGAGGGTAGGATTACATCTAGGGTCCGGATCCCAGCTCTCTTTCTTCTTTCCAGTCGGGTCACAGAGAGCAGCCTGGGTGGATCCCTGGAGCAGGAACTTGTGGCAGTCATCTGTTTCTTGTGTTGGTGCCTTCTCCCCGAAAAGAAATTATATTAATCTATATTGAGCCTAGTCCTGTGAATCTTGATCCGTGCATCCTTAGTCCTCCAAACAATCAATGAAACTTCTAAATTGCTTTGTACCAGATGGTTATCTGTACTGAAGAAGTTAAGGGACACAATAAAGTCAATGGATACTAGTTCCATAAACCATAGAAGTATTGCAGACCTATTATTTTAAAAATCATAAATGTACCTACTTGATGAGTGTGAATTTTTGTATACTTAATGCATTTTATTATATTTATTTAATTATTATATTTATTTAATTTATTTATATTTATTTAATTATTATATTTATTTTAATTATATTTATATTAATAATTATATATTTATTATATTTATTTATTGTATTATATTTATTTAATCTTTCATTTAAAACTTTGATCATTTTTCAAAACAAACTTTCTGACATCCTTAAATCAAGACTTACAGACATGGGAGGTTCAAATATAGAAAGATTAATGTGTATGGTAGGAGTAGGGCATAAAGCTTCAGTATTGCTTTGTCATCAAGTTGGCTCTAAGTTTACAAGCAGCAGCCAAGTATAGACAGAAATAAGAGGATTCATAAAGCTCCCCTTTCTTTTTAAAAAGATTTTATTTATTTATTATGTATACAACATTCTGCTTCCATGTATATCTGCACACCAGAAGAGGGCACCAGATCTCATAACGGATGGTTGTGAGCCACCATGTGGTTGCTGGGAATTGAACTCAGGACCTCTGGAAGAGCAGTCAGTGCTCTTAACCTCTGAGCCATCTCTCCAGCCCCAAAGCTCTCCTTTCTTGTTCAGAAAAGAAAACAAAATAATAAATGTAGCTAGGAAATCAGTTTTCCTGGTACTGAATCCTAAGAGTAATTTATTGTATAAGTTGTTTTGCAGTTGGCTTCCATCATTATAATAAAAATACCTAACATAACCAACTTACAAAGATAAAAAGTTTATATTGACTCAGTTTTGAAGGTCTTAGTCTGTAATAGATTGGCCTTACTCTTTTGGACCCCATGGTTAAGTCAGTACATCATGGAAGAGTGAAATTACTCACAAGAAGAAGGAGTGACTGGTGTCCCACAATGCCCTCAAGGGCACATCCAGAATGAAGTAAAGACTTCCAATGAGGCCTGTTACTTAAAGTTTCCACTAGCATAATAGTGGCACTGTGGTTACCTTGCCTTTAGTATGCTGGTTCCCAACCTGTGGGTCGCAACCCTTTTGGGGGTAAACAACACTTTCACAGGGGTTGCATATATCCGATTTTGACATTGTAATTCATAACAGTAGCAAAATTACAGTTATGAAGTGGCAACAACAGTTTTATGGTTGGGGAGGTCCCCACAACATGAGGATCTGTATAAAGGTTTGCAGCATTGAGAAGGTTGAGAACCATTGCTTTTAGCAATTGGGCCTTTGGGAGATTGTCAAGACTCGTGCAAAATTACAAATAACTTGTGTAGTTGGAAGCTTTTCTCATCCTGCCCACCAGTTCCCAAATAACCACTCTAAAGCTTAATATTAATTATAATTGCTTGTCTGATGGCTCAGGCTTCTTACTGGCTAGCTCTACATATAAATCAACCCATTTCTATGTTCTATATTTTACCATGAGGCTCGTGACTTGTTACCTCACACCTTGCTTCCCCAGCGGCTACATGGCATCTCCCTGACTTGGCCTTCTTTATCTCTGTAACTCTGTTTGGGTTTCCTGCCTAGCTATATTCTACCTGGCCATTGGCCAAAACAGTTTTATTCATCAACCAATAAAAGCAATACATCTTAACAGCATACAGAAGGACATCCCACATCAAATTTGTGTTTTGTGAGGGATATAGAGAAGCCTATCACATGGCAGTTTCATGTTTGACAATAAAAACTGGTTTTTAATTATTTTTGAGACAGGGTTTCTTTGTGGCTGTTCTGGATTTCACTCTGGGCTCATCCTGTCTCTGCCTCCAGAGTGCTGGGATCAAGGGTGCTCTAACACACCCAACTCAGAAGCAAATGTTTAAACTCATTTAGCAAGACATTAAAAAAAAATTACATCCTAATCAGTGAGGTAACTTGACTAAGTAGGTATTCTAATTGAAGCTATCCATGGGGCTTTGGTCCTACTAAATACAGGAAGGTCCAGAACCTACCACCCTGCAGGCTCCAGTCTTTGTTAAACTAGATGGACACTTCTGAGCAGAATATCAACTGAGACCTGGTAACTGTGAACACCTTGAGAAAGAGAGGAGAGGAGAGGAGAGGAGAGGAGAGGAGAGGAGAGGAGAGGAGAGGAGAGGAGCATGGAGGTAACATAAACAGATGTTAATTCACCCATTTTTCCTTCCCTAGTACTTTGGAAGTGTTGTGGACATCATCCAGAACCATCAGCACAACCCCCTGGTTCTTATTGACAGTCAGAATAACACAAAGGATTCTACAAGACTGAAATATGCTGTGAAAGTTTCATAAAGAAAGAGACATCGATCCCACTGTTTTAGACATTTCCTCCATTTCTTCTTTTGAGAAAACTTCATATTCTGTATCTGAATCATCAGCAATAGCAGAGAAGATGAATGAAGCCACTGAGGTGGTAAACTTCACTCCTTCATAAGATGCTCACATCAACTTTTCTAGTGCCTGACCTGATGAAGTGATAGCTGGGGAAGTTCAGTTATTACGCTACTAATATTCTCCAAATAAATGTATTTAAAAGAAACAGGTGTAATGCATTTTCAGTCATGTAAGAAAACAACACTGTATTTTTAACTGAGAAAATCATACTCTCGGATGCAACAAAGCTGCTGGGAGTTTAGGCCTGTCAGCAATCACTGCACCTGAATGTAGCCAGGCTGTCTACCACTGGTGCACGACAGTTATGTCTTAGTTAAACTTTTTTTTTTTTCTTTTTGAGACAGGGTCTCACTACGTAGCTCTGGCTATCCTGGAACTCTCTTTTTCTGTAGATCAGGATGACCTCAAACTCACAGAGATCCACCTGACTCTGACTTTCAAGTGCTGGGATCAGAGGTGTGCACCATCATACCCGGTTTTAGTTAAACAGCATGGCATGTTTTTATATGTCAGTTTCATGACTACTAAATTATGGGTTGAATTGTGTCTAAGGCCTTACAGATAAAAAGTCAAGTTAAGATGGGGTCAGTAAGGTACCCATCAGGCGACCTGTTGACATGTTCCTTATGAGGGAAAGAGCTGTGACTACAGGTGCAGTCATGCATAGCGAGAAAGAAGAGGCATCAGAGGAGGACACCATGTGAAGACTGGAACTGTGCACTCACAAACCAAGGGATGCCAACGATGGCTGCCAAACCAGCAAAGGCCAAGCAAGGGCAAGGGCAGATCCCCTCCAGGTTCAGAGGAAACATCGGCCCCTTTACACCTTGGCTTCAGACTTCAAGCATCTAGATCTGGGGGTCAATGAGTCAGATTGTAGTGGTCTGTGGTAATAACAGCCCTGTGAAATGAATACAATTCACAGACACTTTTTACAAATAACATCTTACATGTGTATATACACCAAAGTTTTGAAAATCTGGATAGAACATGTTTTCTCTGATAAAAAAAAAAAGTGGACTTGCTTGGAATGTACTAGAAAGAACAATTTACAATAAGGAAGACTGAGGCAATCTTTTACAAAGAACACCTGCTGATGACAGGAAGTACAGGCACCCTCTGTGTTTTGCTCAGAGCTACATGGAAATAGTTTTTACTGTAAGTAAATCTTCATTCATTTCTTCTGTTACTGCAGTTATCATCCTTGTTCTCAGAGCAGTCTCTTTTGCTCTGTCTCCAACTGTCCTTCAGGTGGCACTTTCCAACAAGATGAAGAAGCATAGCTTTTTTTTTTAAAAAAAAAAATACATGTCTATGCAAATCCATAGTAATTTAATATTCAGCACTGCTATGATGGGTTTCTTGGAGCCAAAGTTGGGCTCCATAAGATAGTCTCTGCGGAGGGATCCTCTCATCTCCAGTGGTGGGAGAAATATCCTACCTAACATGACTTCCCCATCCCCACCTCCCAGAAAGAGTCCATTAAAGAGTAGGCAACCCTACCTGCTTCTCCAAAGCTGTCCTCTGCAGGCAGAAGTCTCAAAGAAAACCTCAAGAGATCCCATCAGTTTTGTTTATGATTTTCTTTTCTTTTTTCTTTCTTTCTTCCTTCCTTTCTTTCTTTCTTTCTTTATTTATTTATTTTTGTTTTTTGTTTTTCAAGACAGGGTTTCTCTGTGTAACAGTCCTGTCCTGGAACTTGCTTTGTAGATCAGGCTAGCTTTGTACTCACTAAGATCCGCCTGCCTCTGCCTCCCAAGTGCTGGGATTAAAAGTGTGTGCCACCACCTTACAGCTTGTCTATTGTTTTCAATACTTAACAAGCAAGTCATTTTTCACAGAGAATTTCTCAGGCAAACTAGCTGATGGGATGGGAGTGGCACAGTGGCTGAAGGCGACATCCTGGTTCCAGTTTTCTGTTTTAAGAATTGCGAAAAGCAGATTGCCGCTAGGGCAACAGAAAGGCTGCAAGCTTGTGCCAACGAGCAGCAGAGACGGAAAGGGCCTGTGGCCATCAGAAGCCTGCCTGCCCTGTGCTGAAATGAGCCAGTCATACATAGCATTGAACCCAGGGAGCTAAAGTACGTTATGGCAATGGGGACAAGTTTGACTAAGAATAAAATGGATTGATGTGAAGCAAACCTAGTCATATGTGATGCATGATTTTGGAGCTGGACCGAACTCAAAATGACCTGAAGACGGTGTATAACTCAACCTCTAAGTAGAGGTGAGGATGCATAGGAAAAAACGTACAGGTCTGCTCTGTGAAGTTCAGGTGCAATGAATGCAATGAACACTTCCATCCAAGCACAAGGCAAGACAGTATTGACTCCGGAGCTGGACAGCGCTAGTGTCTGCTTTCTGGCATGCTAACAGGCATGCTTCTTCTTATCCTTGTTAACATCAGCTTTTACGTTTTCAAAACAACTTTTTTTTGGTATCGACAGAGTGGACAAAGTTACATTTTAATACACCTATTACTTAGTTATGCCTATTAAATATTAACTCTCAGCTCCCAAGCCAAAATCTCCTTTGAAGAGCTTAAAAACTAATTTGTGAACAAGTCTTCAAATATATCTGCCTAAAACTGCTTGTGGACATTTATTTTGAACACATGTCAGGAAGACCCCTAAGGTTTTCCTCTGTATCTGTGAGTTTTGATTTTTTTTTTCAGTAACTACAAAGTTCTTTGAATCTCATGAAAGCCATTGCTGGTCTTTGCCCAAGAAGAAAAGTTCATTTAGATATATACACAACCACCCACCAATTTTCTCCAAGTTCCTGCACCCTAGGGCTTCTCCATGGACAAATCACACAAAGATCCAAGGCTTTAGGCCATGACTCACATACCTTCTTAAACTTTAATATATCAAAATGTATAGTGGGAAATTACCAATACGGAGTCAGGTAGAAATATAAGGGTATTTAATAGGGAAAAGCCTTACTTACAGAGTGACCTAGCCAGCCGGCGTGGCAGCAGTCTGTACAGCAAGTACCAAAGTGAAATCGAAAGAGCAAACGCAGTCACACTACGTCACTCTGACCATGCCCTCACAAGCGTGCTCAGGCACACCTGTAGCCAGCCCCTAAGTAGGCGTGGCTACAGCTTCCCCTACAAAAATGGGTAGAATATTACATACCCAAGACCTCAACAAGCCTAACATACTTTCTTCAGTGAGTGAGAAGCAGGCATCGATGGGGGTTAGTACAGGGCCTCTGGAGTGACACTTTAAATGCAACGCCAGCTTCTGTGTCCACAGACTGTGAATTTGGCTTGCCCGTGCATGAAATGGAGGTGATGATGCAGTTTATCTTACAGGATTGTTCAGACTGTATTAAAGTTGTAAAAATTCAGGAGTGTGAGTTATCATTGTTCTAACCTGACCACAGTCACTGAGCCTGCTGTGTGCCAGTCAGTACATACGTTAGGCACATGAAGCATGGACATAAATAATCTTATATCTTTGGAGGCACCCAAATAACCACTCAGATATTTCAATCTAGAGCTCTCATTTTATAAAAGCATCAAGCAGGATTTTTAATTTAGGAATTACTATATTACTGTCATCTTATCCTGGCCCACACCTCTGGTGAAGCCTCCTCTTCCACCAAAGGCCAGGCAAGCATCCTGAACCCCAGGTAAGACTGCCCCCCCCCACTCCACCCATGCTCGCCCAACATAACTCCAACTGCCGTTCCTCTCATTATCACCATATCCTTGCCCATACCTCTGGTGGAAGCCTTCCACCCCATCAGAGACCAGGCCAGCTCCCTGAACTAAAAAATCACTTTCCCTCATCCTTGCCCTGTCTGCACCCACCCAGATTAACTCCCAATGCCCCTCTTCTCCTTGTCACCTTATCTGTGCCCACACACACATCTAGCAGAAACCACCTACTCCATCAGAGACCAGGCCAGCATCCTGAGCCCCAGAGACCAGGCCAACTCACTGAAAACCAGTCAGAAGCATCCTATACCATCCTGAATCCCAGAATACTCCTAGCCATATCAGAGACCATGCACATAGCCAGAACTCCACCCCCAAACATGGGCAGCAAACACCTGTTGGACCAGAGGCCATGCAGGCCATCTGAAGTCCAGCCCCCAATGTAGGTGGAGACCCTCTACTCAACCTCAGGCCATAGCAACTAGAAAACCAGAGAGGAAACAGAAACCAAGGAAGAAAGAAAACACGTGTCCAACAAAGACAGAAATTAGCACCAGGACCTATAAACACTCCAAATCCAGATGCCTAAACCTAAATATAAGAACACAAACAACACCCAGGTGGTGGTGGTGGGAGGTAGAGGCAGAGGCAAGCAGATCTCTGTGAATTCAAGGTCTACAGAGTGAGTTCCAGGAGAGAAACCCTATCTTGAAAAACCAATCAACCAACCAAACAAACAATCCAAACAAAAACATAAACAACAACTGGGATAATATGTCACTACCAAGACCCAGCCATCCCACTATAGCAAGCCCTGTATATTCCAATACAAATGAAGCACAAAAACATGACCTTAAAACCAACTTTATGATGATGATAGAGATTTTTAAGAGAAAGTAAATAAATCCTTTTAGTAAATTGAGGAAAAGGCAATCAAAAAATCGGAGGAAATCAATAAATCTCTTACAGAATTCAAGAAAACTAAGAAAAAACCCCAAACAGTTGATGGAAATGAATAAAGCTGTTCAAAACCTGAAAATGCAAATATAAGCAATAAAGAAAACACAAATTGAGGGAATTCTGTAAATGGAAAATCTAGATAAGCAAACAGGAACTACAGATACAAGCATTAGCAACAGAATACATGAAATGGAAAAGAGAATCTCAGATGTTGAAGACACAATACAAAAATAGAAGGAGAGGAATCTCATCTCAAAGACCCAAAAATATTTTTAATAAAATCATAGAAGAAGTTTCTTACCTTAAAGAAGGACATGACTATAAAGGTACAAGAAGCTTACAGGACACCAGATAGACTGGGCCAAAAATGAAAGAGCCCTCGCCACATAATAACAAAACACTAAACACACAAAACAAAGATAGAACATTAAAAGCTGCAAGAGAAAAAGGCCAAATAACATGTGAATGAAGACCTATTAAAATTAGACCCAATTCTCAATGGATGCTCTAAAAGGCAG